GCGTAGTAGGCCACATTAATTACAAGGAGCTGGAGTCCTTTGACCAGTTGAGAGCAGGCATAATACTTCATTCAAAACACAGTAATATCCTTTGCAAAAGTACATCACACATGATCAACTAATGTGTTTGCCTTTTTTACTCATCACCCACCATTCGCAGTATTTTGCATCATTGCCTAAGCATGGAAACAGTTTGGCCTTTTTATTTGCAGAGTTGAATGCAATGAAGCGTTTGGTGATGAAATGGAGGCTTGCCTCTTTCGAGTCATGATCGATTGCAAGGGATCAGGTGCAAAGGCTTTCGCTTCAAGCACTTGAAAGGAAAATCAACAGTTTGATGATGGCTTTAATGAACGAATCCCTCCTTTTGATTTCCTAGTCCCAAAGGATTCAATCAATTTTGATTACCACTGATTTCAATTTTGTTGTCAGTTCGAATAATTTAGAGTTCACCGGATCAGGTAGCTTTCTGTGTTTTTTTATTACCTGTATGAAATATTATTTGACGCGCCTATGTGAAATCCTTTGACTTGGTCCCACGAATTTTGAAGTGCGATCAGTGTGACCACCGATTACCAAATATAGCAAACTCTGGAAGTTTCGACAAATAACTACCTTCAAAATAATATATTTAGCTAACTCAATTTCGGATAAAATCAATCACCCATCTCAAGCTTGATTTTACCGCTTTTACTATAAAGTCTTTGGTAGCCAGTTTTGGTTTATGAATAACAGAATAATTGGGACACCATTATAATCCCTGACGGTATGTGTGCATGCTTGCCTTAAGAGTCAGCTACTAATAAGCGCCATGTATTTGTAATTAGTGCATAAAGTTGTCAAATTATACCTCAAGTAAGTACAGCCTGCACGGAACAAGGTGTTAATGCATTCGTCACTGCAAAATATTTCATTGAACCACCGTTAGGGTCTGTAGGTGTTGAAATATTTAGATGAAAATACTTTCCAAATACAGATCGCCTTAGAAAAGCTCTTGTCTATAATAATTCAAAGAGTGGTTTACAATCCAAGGAGGCTTTTCTTCCATTTACATGTGACTGAGAAAATGCAATATCGATACAATGAATCAAAAATGCATTTTACAAACTGCGGATGTTTACTCCCACAAACATTCGAATACAGAGGATTGCCTAAAACTAATTCAAGCTGCTGCAATGGGATTGGTTAACCACCTGGATGGCGGAATGTGGCCTTGCAGACCAATCATCTTGCATGAAGAAAGTCATCTGTGGGCGTGAATCACCAGAGACGACATTGCGATGTGCATCCTGTGAAAATGCTGTAGTCGAATTCCCCACCATGCAGCCATCGTCGTGGTCAACAACTGCCAGCCCCATTTCAATGGCTCCCTTTATCCTTAAAGCGAATGAAGTCGCTCGCCGAAAAAGCACGGACACCCGAAAACGGGAGGTTTCGGACCCGCACCTGCCAAACACGAGTGCCCGCGGAGCCCTGGGACGATCGAGAGTACTCCTGAAACGTCTTGCCAACCGGATTGGCGTCAGCAGGAGGCTCACTTCTAGCTACAGGCATCGCAATGCTTCCACAAATTTTTCTGCCGACATATTAACTCCGCGTTCAGCTGAAGAGCAGGCTCCACGGTCGTTTGAAGGACCCTTTCCCACCCGTGAGGCGATAATCAAAAGTCGATCTAAATCATCCCGAGTGATCCTGAATGTCGGAGGTGACAAACACGAGGTAATGTGGAGGACGTTGGACCGAATGCCCCATTCGAGGCTCGGACGCCTTCGTCACGCCGTCACGCATCGGGATATTATGCAGTTGTGTGATGATTACAACCTTGAAACCAATGAGTACTTCTTTGATAGGCATCCACAAAGTTTCGGCTGTGTGTTGAACATGTATCGGACTGGTCATCTTCATACAGTAGATGATATCTGCATTCTTGCTTACCACAGCGACCTTCTTTATTGGGGCATAGAGGATCACAACATGGACCCCTGTTGCCTAAGTCGATACTACCAAAAGAAGGAACACGTAGAGGATGAAATGAAAAAGGTCAATGAGATTTTTATGCAACAACTGGATGACGAGTACTTTGGCGACGATAAGTGTGCTATTTACCGCAAGAAATTGTGGGACATTCTGGAAAAGCCTCAGACTTCCACTGCAGCAAGGGTAAATTCCGTGTATAGATTTTAACCATTTGGTATGCAGTCATTTAAAATGGCATGTATTTACTTTACTATGTCACAACAGGATGAGTTTTCTTTAAAAACTAATGCTCAACCGTTATCAGTTGTGGCTACAGATGTCAATTAACAAAAAAGGGGAGTGTAAAGGCCTGATGATGCAATTGGCTTTGATGCAAATTTCATGCTGTTGTGTTTGTTCAAGTAAAACAAAAGTTGTTTTTGCATCAGGTGGGTAGCTTGGCGATGTTAAGGCTCATAAAAATCTGCAATGTATTCCTGTTCTTAGAAAGAACATATATCGGTTCCTAGAATTTAGGATACAGATTTCAAGGAATGGTGGCGTAGCTTCAGTCTAATTGAGGTCCGAATCCGCAATTAAATTCTTAGCTAACTACTTAATTTTAAATTGCTGTTTTATTAACTTGAGCATGTTTTTTTCCCGTGCTTTCGTCGAAACTACACGTACCACTGCAAACCCCAGGCTGATTGTCCCAAAATAGGTAAATTGCAAACTGGGCTAGCCGTTTTTATTGGCAGCCCTAATTAACCTCACACTTCATGAAAGTCTAAATACAACACGTACTTTTACCGAAAGCAAGTATAATACAATGATGACTAGTGGATGGCGAATTTTACCGCCGCGTTTTTAGGTAGTTTGAATAGAATTCCAATTCATGAGTGTTGGAGTGAATTTGGGCATTTCATTCGAGTAACTGTCATAACAGGTGTCGTGCAACACGCTTAAATCATGTTTAATCAATAAATTCGCGTATGTTTGCATCTCATAAAAAGAAATATTTTTTAACGCACTTCACAACCACGGTGCTTAATATCCTACGGTCATGCCACGTCAAAAAGTGAAACTGGAAATGAACTATGCGCTTTTAGGGTATAGGTATTTTGCATTTTAAATTTGTGGCTGAGACTAACATTGGTGTGTGGAAATTGCGATGTGTTGAAGCAGACAAAAGTGATGAGAAATTTAGACCACTTTCTTCAAAGGTATTTATCATGATAAGCAGACTATGTTTTCAAGCTTGACGCATTTTAAAGCACAAATTTTAAAACCCTCACAACTACTTATATCTATCTGGAATTCTGTGAGGATGAGATGGCCAGTAGCACCTAATTATTAATTTTTAACACAGGAAGCAAAATCTGTTTGACTTTTAGTTTAAATGCGAGATCACTAATGCCTTTTTACAAGGTCTGTCGATTCCAAAAATAATATTATCTTGATTTGCACTCATTTATGAAAAGGAGTTCTGAATCCTTTCCTGTCAGCGTAGAGTTGGTGAGGTACCTTAATAAAAAATTTCAGTTAAAATGTAGAATGTTTTGTTACCTTAGTTCAGCACAAATATTTAATGTCCGAGTTAAGTGGTTGCTAGCTCGTGAACCATACGAGGCTTAAGATAGATAATGGACCTGGAAAAAGATTGCCAGCAGATATTTTCTAGGACGACACTACCAAAAAACAAAATAACTGTGACTTTAGTGTCTACTTGTCTGGTATTCGCAATTAGACCAAGACAAAACCCAAAATACTTAACTTCAGCTAGATCGAAGTGGTTTTTGTACACAATGTTTGTTTTCATCCTATTCTATCACTAATTTCTACATAATTGCCTAGTTAAACCAATTTGCTAATGTGACGGAGACTAGACATTAATGCTTTCTAATGTATTTCCACCTTAACTAAATGGGTATGCATAGTTATTGTGGTGAAGAGTACGATGCGCTTTTGAAATGACATCGATCATTCTTAAAAATTATAAACTTCAAGGGCTTTCGCGACTAAAGAAAATCTGTTTTCTATCCCTATCTTACAAGACCTTTGTTCGTAACGCCATTGCCAAAGTTGTCATAGACAAGATGCCTCTAGTCTCGTTAGTAATTTTAAGCCATAAAAGTTTTAATCGGCGACGTTGCGTCACGTGATTGCCAAGTTCCAGGGTGCTTGCGATCACGGCGACGACCAGATTTGCGAAAGCCATTGTGGTTCATTACTTTTAAATACTTGATCAGTAATTCAGAACCACCTAGTACTTTCATTATTAGGGATACTTGCTTAACTAAGGTTTCTTTAGATTCGCACACTCAATATTAAACCTGTTAGCAACCAGCAAAGCGACACATGCCCATGACTCATGTGAACAGAGGTATTATCGAAACACATAACACAAAAGCAGACAAACACGATCCTGTGCACTGTTTACCACCCGGTGTACAGATGCCTATTGGCTAAAAGTGCATTGTTTCGATCGTGGTTTCGTTGCTAATCTGATCCCTAATTAAGAACGAACTGCGGCCCATGTAGATTAAACTTCAAAAACAGAAAAAAGTTCAAAAAAAATCCTGAACTATCACAAGGAAGCACGTGGCGTGTACTGATTACAGCCCTTTTGAAACAAACATCCGGATTAAAAAAACACGGGCTCATCACTTTACTGCAAGTACCTACTTTATGTCATCGGTCTCAGTTGTGCGGGCAATATGGACAGGAGAAAGATAAACCAGGAGCCTCACATCGGTAAATAAGGTTATATCTCTTATGTAATAAAACTGATTAGAGTACCATGTTTCTTCGTTTTCTCTTGTTGAACCTGAGAGCTGTGCCTGAGTGCTTTCTACGAATCCCTTGTTAAGGTAGTTTGGGTAGAACTTCGTGTCAATCAGTTGGTTACCTTAACAAAGAGACAGTTTCGCCTGGTAGTCCCTGTACCACATTGTTAAAAGGGCTTTTATGTGATAGACTAAATATGCACCTTTTTTGTAATACAGCATGGACACCTTAGCGCTCCTAAACTATTACTCTGCTCTGATTGCTTTCAAAGTCTAAAAAAATCAATTAAACCTTTCATTGGTCTATTATTTTTTGGATCAAATCAGGCCACAACACGTCGCGTTTTGTAAGGAACTTACACAGGAGGCAACATATTGCCTGCCAGGAATTTAGTGACAGAAAAATTCAATTTTCGTTGCAAATGGCCAGTTATCGACCGATCATTTTCTGCACTTTAGCTTGCAATGGACTTTGTAAACGTGGGTTGCATTCATTATCAGCACTAATGAAGATTTGTTAGGTGCACCTTAAGTGCAAGCCTTTTTAGAAACAGCCATTATCACTAAAAGGGTTAAATTTAGAAGACGTTTAGTTGGTAACTAGGATCGATTTTAAACTATAAATTTACTTGTAGCTTAAAACGGAACTCTCTAATGAAGAATACACTTCATTTATGTAAAATAAGCACTCTATAGTTTGCAGATATTCAGTAAGCAACTCAGTAAAAACGCAGAATACCAATTAAAGGCATAGATCATGTGAAGACTAGTAATAAAAGTTGAAATTACGAAAACCATAATTTTTGCAAATGTACATCATGAATTGTTTTATTTATTCTTAAATTTTGCAAAGATTGATATTCTGGAGAAAGAATATTTATTGAAGCGAATACGTAATTATTGTGCATTTCATGTTGATATGCTTGTCTACTATTTGACGTAATCAGATAATTTCCGAAATGCAACCATCTCTCTACCCTGTATAGCCAAATGAATTCCTGCCCCCTAATAATTTGAGAACACAAAACAATTTTTGTTGAACACCTTATATTGAGGAAATGTTAGGCGGTTTTTTAGTCTACTAAGTCATCCGAATATCAAAAACAATCTACACGCATGATTTGACTCACTTTCCTACATATCCAGTTTAATGGTAAATAAACATAATGGCATTGAGTTGCTCGGTTTAAACATATCTTTGCATGACCTTAGACCCATGTAAAAACATTTACTATCGGTAAATGTGCTTCACATCAGTCATGACAAGCAAGGATCAGCAGGCACTATTAACTTGAAAAGGACAACCGGATAATTTTCTTGTATAACTGTTAGCAATTGGAGCTGTAGACGCACAAGAGAGAACTGTTCAGCTAAAATGTTCCTAATTTTCGACATTAGTTCTCTTGTACTCTGCTACAAATCTAGTGCGATTATTCGAAGAAAAATTTGAGGAATGCGGATGAATTGACAGGCACATAAATACTTGTGCACTTTATTTGAAACCTAATTTCGATGTTAAAATGGGTCAAGCGAAAACAGTAAAACATTTTTTTGAAAAGTCTTTATCTGCATCAAAATATTACTTGTAGGCGCTGATGGCAGCAGACTACAAACGAAATTTTCATTGGGACGCCTCATAGGGTGTACGTGAAATGACCGTGTTTCCAAATGCTCTACGGTAGAGTTGCCACGCAATGCTATTTGCTTTTAATAAAAAAGCGACATTGTCTAGTTAAATTAACTTAAATTTTTGACCTTGACTATCACCTTGACGTTAGCAGAGTTGTTTACAAACTCTGTATTTTTCAAATTAATTTTATATCCTCCAAGTTCGCTGCCTTATAACCTCACTTCAGTTTGCTTTAACTGCCGTTTTTATTACAATGTAGACATGTTTGCAGGTGAGAAATTAGTTCCACGCATTTAGATGCGACCACATCCCAGTAACCGAATTTTAGCCAATTGGACAACATCGTTCTATCCAATATAGAAGCTCTTTCAACTAGCAACTAGAATCAATTACAAATGCTTAGACTCTTGTTCATGGCAAATGTTTAGCGCCACATTTTACAAAACAAAGTTTGTAAAATACCGTAATTGATTCCCTTACTGTCTGAGTTAGTGTCCTTCACAAGCCTAGACAATCCTTGTTTGCTTCAGTCAGGATCATGACTCCATCGATACAGCAAGGATCGCAGTGTGCGTAAATTTAATTAGCTAATAGCAAGGTTGTTCATATAATTCCCCTTAAGGCGAATTCCCCAAGAGACTAACCTTGCTCTTTGGTTTTTCTCAGATGTAACGCTAAGATGAGATCCGTTGAACATGGTGTCCAGACTGCAGCAACGCTTTTACACGTTGTTTGAATCAATTTTTTTGTTTTTATTTTGTAAAAAGTTTGATCGTCCATAACAGAGATCCACTTGATGTCTGTAAAACGTG